CCCAGCCCTCTCTGCTCCCCCGGGCGGCTCAGGCTCGCCACCGCCTCATCGCTGCCCCGGCGAGGGAAGCAGCTGGGAGCGCCGGGACTGGCGCTTCTCCCCTGCGCGCCTGGGGCTGGGGGTCTCCTCCTCTTCCCGGTGCGGGTCAGCGTCTCCTCCTTCGCCTCGCCACTGCCTGACTCGGGGGGAGGGTGCGGGGGCGAGGAGGAGGCGCCACTATCTCTGCCCGCTTTGCACGTACGCCACTTCCAGCCAGCTAGCGCGGCCGGGGCGGGGCCGCGGAGGAAGGGGGAGGGCGGGCCAGCCCCGCTGGGGCTGGGGGTCTCCTCCTCTTCCCGGTGCGGGTCAGCGTCTCCTCCTTCGCCTCGCCACTGCCTGACTCGGGGGGAGGGTGCGGGGGCGAGGAGGAGGCGCCACTATCTCTGCCCGCTTTGCACGTACGCCACTTCCAGCCAGCTAGCGCGGCCGGGGCGGGGCCGCGGAGGAAGGGGGAGGGCGGGCCAGCCCCGCAGCTGGGACGCTCCTCCCTTTCCTGCGGGGAGGTTTTAGTTCCTCCGCCACCTAAAAGGCCGTGATTTGTTTGCATTAGGGCACATGGGGTGGGTTTCCCCCCTTACCCGCTTTAAGCCTCCCTGGCAGAATAGGAGTCGACTGACCCTCCTTTGCTCTCGCTCTCGAGTCCAGTTAGAGCTAGGCCAAACCAAAACCTTGGGCTCAACTAGTAGCCACATTTTACAGAATTCCATTCTGGCCCCCAGGGACTTTACTTCTCTGTGCTTTGAACTGTTGCCTGATACATGAACGACACATTTGTATCTAATAGCAGCCATGTGCTCAGTACTGCACAAACATAAGAAGGGGGTGTGTCTGGTATATAGTTGGACAGTTGACATACGTCCTAAATTCTGCCACTGATCTACTGACTGGCCTTGGGCAAGTCACTTAAAGGGAAACGGATCTTGAATTCACACTGCTGTCTGAAAATTATTTCGTTAATTGTTTACTTATAAGGCAAAAATTTTTGGTGAGAGGGGCCACTCCAAGATTTTGGAAAGTGGTCAAGGCCCTCACTCTTCCATGCTATTAATAGAGGAGGTGTGGTGTCTGAGATGGAGGTTGAGGGAAGGAGGCAGTTGTGACCTAGGGCAGGGGATTAGGGTGCAGGGTCTGGGACAGGGTATGGGTTCAGGAAAGAGACAGAGGGTTTGCCTTATATGAGGTGTGGGGTAGAGGGTTGGGAGGGGGGAGGGATTGGGGTGCCAGAGGCAGGCTCTGGCAGGGAGACTTACATGGGTGACTCCCAGCCAGCAGCCCAGCAGGTTTCTCTGCCTGCCTGCAAACCACTCCCACTAACATGCTTCAGGGGCCATGTGCATTGGTGAATAAGAGCCTGAGGGGAGAGGGAAATGGTGCTTCCTACACTGCCTGTTTTAAGCAGCTAGTTCCCAGTGGCCAGAAATCAGCCAATGGGATTGTGCTGAAGGCGAGAGCAGCGCATGAAGCAACACTTCTCCCTCTTCCCCCCTCCTCCCCCCCACTTCCTGACTCACAGTTGAGAAAGAGAAACAGCTGTGCCAGCCTTTTCTGAGCGGTATGGGGGTGCATGTGGGGCAAGCGGGGCAAGCAGGGAGTCTGCCTGAGGCTCTCTGCTGTGTCTGTGGGCCGGATCCAGTGGCCTGGTGGGCCCAGATCCGGCTGTATTTTGCCCAGGCCTGTTATAAGGTCTACAGTTAATACAATAGAAAGGTTAGCAAATTGTACATTTGAAAACACTTTCTGCATAGTCAATTACCCTATGGTTTCTCATGTACATAGTTTCCTCTGTTTGGTTATTTATTCATTTATTTTGGATGGTGGGGAGGGGGTGTTTCGCAGAGTAAAAGGGGAGAGGAAAACCCTCTTCCCCCCCCAAAAAAGAAAAACAGTTGGATTGTTAAACAACATCTAGGAAGAGATACAAATTATTAAAAAAAAAAAAACAATTACAAATGTTTGGCTTCCCTTTAATTTCTTGATGTTTCAGTAGCCTCCTCTATAAAGGGGGCCAGTATTATTTACCCACATTAGTAAAGTGCACCAGGTTCCTCCACTGAAAAGTGTGATACTGAAGTACAAAATATTATAAAATGACAGACAAAAAAGGACAAGAGTTAGATGCAGCAGCCCCAGATGTTTTGAGATAGGGAGAGCAACTCAAAGACATTTGCATTCTGGGCTTTAGTGATAGGTTGATTCCTAGTGGTGTTACTGGAAGTGGAGAGAACAAATCAGGTAGTTAGTTTTTGCCATTTCAAGCTGATGGTGTGAAAGCCAAAAGATGTTAGCTAAATGTACCATGCTGTATCTATGGTTGGAGATAGATCAGCCAAGGTGGCTAGGTAGCCTAGGACTTACAAGACTTGGGTTTGAGTCCCAGATCTGTTAATGACCGTAAGCAAATAATTTAGGGTGGCATTCACAAAGAGATTTAGGACCTAAGGACCACTGATTTCAATGGCAGTTAGGTGTATAAATACCTTGGTGAATCCCACTTTTAGCCTCCCTATCTTAAAAGTACTTAAGTACTATTAAGAAGATAATTGTACTTCCCTATTAAAGAAGTGCTGTGAGGATTAAGATTGTGAGGCAGTCAGATACTATGATAGTGCAGGCTGTTGTAGTACCTGATAGGAGAGGTATCTTTGAGAGTTATTGGCACAGAAATGGTGGTTAGTAGAATGTGAACAGATAGAGTCACTGAGGCCAGATCTACACAGGAGTTTAGGTCAGTTTTCTATACAGTGAGTCCACACCAGCAAGCCCATTCCATTGTTCAGAGCAACATGCAGTGTCCAGACTGCCTTCGTCCTCTACCCTGGACTGACTCTGCAGAAGATCTTGAACAAGCCTTTACACCACAGGAAGTAGCAAGTAGATAAACTAACAACAAAAACATAGCTCCAGGAAATGATGGTATTCTCTACAACCTCCTGAAAAAAAATCATAGACTCTGATTGGTATTAACTGCCATTTTCAACAGATGCAAGTAGTTCCTGGTTTCAGCAGATGCAAGTAGTTCAATATGTCAATACTCTCAGCTCCTGGAAAAAGACCATGATGGTTCTTGTCTACAAGAAAGGTGAGCGAGATGACCCCTGCAACTGGAGCAATCTCTCTGCTTCACTATATACGAGCTGCCTTGCAGCTAGTGAGTGGAGAAGCCATCAACTCCATATAGAAGGGCTTCATGTCATCTGGAGACTGCTACAAGCACAATTTTATCCTTCAGACTGCCATGGAAAGAGAGACTCCGGAAATTCCCATTTGTAGTGGCATGAAGCAAGGCTGTCCCCGCAGTCCCATTATCTTCAATTTAGCCATGGAGCTACTCATCCAAGCCACCTCCAGCAGTCTAGGTAGTTTAGACCAATATGTGAACAAAGTGAACATCTTGGCCTATACAGATGATCTGGTCCTTATCACAGACTAACCCGAGAGCCTCCACCTAATATTGGATGTCATCAACGCAGCAGCCAATTGGATGAGCCTCTATTTCAGCACTAGTAACTGTGCATCTATGTACGTAGATAGCAGCATCAGGGACTTGGCTTACACAATGAAGTTCCAGATCCAGGGTGAATCCATGGTTTTGCTTGAGGACAGGCAAGAGTACCAGCATCTCGGCATGCCCTCAGGTTTTTGTGTCCAGCAGACACCCGAAGACGCCATCACAGAGATCCTGTACAATGAAGCCAGCATTGATTCCTCCCTTTTGGCATCACAGCAAAGGATCAATGCCTGGGACACCTTCCTGATTTCCCGTATTTCATTCATCCTGAGGGCATTTACCATGGTGAAGGTACCCCTCAACAAGGCAGACAATCCCATCAAAGAACTGAGAAGTGGATGTTTCTTCCTTACAGGGCCAGCAATGACATGGTGTACATCTGTCACAGGCAGGAAGGCACCAACGTCCCTCAAATGGGTGACCTGTGTAATGTTACTGTGATCACACATGCTTTCCACCTCTGGACATGTGCAGACACCACCGTAAAGAGCATTGCAGAGAGTGCCATGCGAGATGCTGACAGGAAGCAAATCACCAGGGCTCCACAGAATCAACCCAAGATGTCTCCACCTACTTGAGTGTCTCCTTGGAGGGAGAATTTTGCAGAGATGGGGAAGCCTTTGCTTCACTCTGGACTCACACTTACAATGCTACATGATGCCGGGAGAAGCGAATCAGTTGCCCCTGGATGTGATTCAAAGA